CAATAGCGCGTTCGTTCCCCACCATAGACACCTGCGGTCCAGAGTTTTGCAAATATCTCAGCAACGTTGTGGTTGTATTCATCCGTGTGTTTTCTGGAACTCTCCTCAGTGTGACAAAGACGTGTCAACTCACCCTGAGAACTCATAGATCGCCTCGAAAAGCTTTTTTAAAACTTTTTTTTTGAAATGTTGACTTTTTGTTCACTGCCTTCAACTAGCCTTCACGGCAGGGTATTGTTTGCGAAACAACCACAATGATGCTCAGACATGTGCAAAACTCCGGACTGCAGGTTTCTGCGGTGGGGAACAAACGCGCTATTGTCCTTTCTGGGGAGTGACGCGTTCACCACCACACCATGCGGGTTCTTCCTTTTGCCTGTCTCTCAGCAAGCTGTATCGATCACTGCCATCAGCAATCACCCGTCAACGGGATTGATCTGGGGAGCCCAAATCGCATTGAACTCAGTGAAGCTGAGGCTATAGTTGAAATTCACAATGTTGACTTTTTGTTTACTGCCTTTAACTAGCTTTCACGGCAGGGTATTGTGTTCAATCCCGTTGACGGTTGATTCACTATAATACTCTTCCAAGTGTATATGTAAAGTCATACTGTGTGGGCTACTTCCACTCATGATGCCAATTGCTTGTCCCTTCACTTTCTGAAATGAAGCGCTGTCCTATGAAACAGTCCTTTATTACAAGTGATGTGGTAAAATTTTCTAGAGAACTAGTGCAGCTCGTTGCTTAAACATTGCTTTGACTTTACTCCAATTGAAAATAGATGGCTCATTATCTTGACATCTCAAAATTCGAGAGAAAATCCAATATTTCTGCCAGAGGTCCAATCATATTGCTGAAGCTGTCGACTATTTGCGAATTGCACGCCTAATTTTTCAGCCCTGCTCGATGCCGATTCTGGAAATTCATCCCATAACGTCGCTATCAAGTAAAACTTTAATCAAACATGACATCTTCCTTTTTATTAACTATGCATTTCGAGGTGAATCAAATATTTTTTCTCTGTCAAGTATTTCTTTATAAGTGAAAGGGAAGTTTCATTAGAACTACTGCTACCCATGTACACAGACTAAGATATCAGTTTTTCGGAAGCTTAGACAGCAGAAAAAAGAAAGAAAAGGACAGCGAAGAAAAAATCTAATCTTCAATTGCCTTCCTGGAAATCATTTTATATCCTTTCTTATAACTGACAGTATTCATATTTTATGCATAAGTGGCTTTTCTATTCACGCTCGATGCCTTAGAAAATACTCAGAGAATCCGCTACTAGAACTGATTTATCCCACTTAATTTGGGCTCTTTTCCCGTATTCTGAATTGCCATCAAGTCTTCTAGTGAATTTTGTTCGAAATCCTTGAGCTGTTCTTTCATTCGAATGTTTTTCTCATTCTACGACCACTGCTGTATCATTCCATTGCTACATTCATTAGCATAATCACGGTCGATAATCCTAGGCCTAACTGCCATCTTCACTACTGAGTATGCAAGCTGAAAAATTCTATGATGCCTTGCTTTTTACCATGGAATGCAGTCCTTTTATTGAAGAAAAATAAAGCTTAATGGGAAAACATACCAACATATTCACGTAATCCTTACATTATCGATTTTCCATGAATATGAAAGAAATATATAGAGCGCCGTGAACGAAGGCAATGTTTGGAGTCCTTCTCATTACGGTTCTACCCGTTCGTATGTGCCTAAGCACCAGCAGATTTTCTCCTATAAGTTTTCTATCAGTCCACCCTTTTCTTCAATTTTTTTCAGCTCCTTTAAGATAAAACGGTGACCAAAAGATAACTAGTGTTTTTCATCCTTATGGCTCCACATATCTAATACATGAAATGTGTTTCTTTGACACCATATGGAACCATGAAGAAATCAATTTTACTTTAGATATTAACGCAAGCGTATCATTTATGAGTAACTTGGTGTGGAAATTAATGTTATCCAAGGAGAAATTCTCATTACTTGAGCCTTTAGGGGACAGAAATTCTGTTTGTTGTGGTATTGAAACTGAAGTCCAGCATGGGAGAACTCTCTCGAGTCGGATATTTGTCGTCTCCATATGTTTGCTTAAAGACTCCTGATTGTGGGTTTCATAAATGAAGTGTGCTATTTAACCGAGAATCGAACTAGATAATTACTCACTACATTTCTCAAGTCATTCTGTGCTTTGAGAAACTTGACAGAAAAGTTCTTTGTTTTCCACCTGCTTCTCTTCACTCTCTGTGAAAATAATGTGACAGTGATGGTGTAGGGCTCGATGCAGCTTCTGAACCGACAGTGTAAAGTTGTTATATTTCGTTAGAAGGCTGTGCACCATGTGGCCCCATCGTATGATTTGTTTCACATCGTTAACGCCGCTGACCAACGAGGTGGTCAAGGGTCTTCGACACAGCCTGTTAATCTCAGTTTAGTTTGTGTATGATATTATTAAAACTGCTTTTAAGCTTACTGCTAAGCGAAAAATACGAAACAAGGGCAGAAGAAGAAAAATAACTCCATACATGTTGTAATAATGAGAATGATCGTCGACATGAGCATGTCGTTCATCCTCTATGGCCAACGAAAAGGAGAGTTCGCCTCGCTCGTCACTTTTCATATTGTTCTACAACGTGCTCCAGAAATAAAGCCAACTTTATCGTTAAGTCATTCCATCATCGTTTCATTTTTTTCTTTATAGCGTTAGTTTCAGTATTTAAAAAGCCAAGGTAGTTATTAGGACAAATGCGCAAATTCACTGTTTTCTTTGAATCACGAAAACAATCTATGTAACAAATTTTACAGTATGAAGAAACGTAGTGGAGTGTCTGGTAATTTAATGAACGCATAGCAAGAATCTGCTCTGTAGACGATTTGTATACCGCCCTTCGAGATCTGTTCGCATCCATTCAGAATCCCATCTCAATATTCGTGATTGGAGCAAAGCGTTTGCTCGTTAATAACTTTTAATTCTATTTGAATGTAATGTTTCAAATTTCAGGAATGAATGGCTCGTACAAGGCCCAAATATTTTCACGTGACGGCTGTTCCCCGCCTTGGATGGATCATCGCCACGGATCCACCAGAAGCGCCTTCACGAGTCCGATTCCAGCATCGGCGTGGGTTCCCCTATTCCTTTACATTGTAACACTTAGAAATCGAATATCAACAAAATATTAGTTTTGTCAATTAATATTAAATTAAATTAAACTTAATATTAAACTAATTAGTTTTAGTAAATGAAATTTTGCACGGTAAACGAAGTGGTGTCTCTATCTTCAAAGCATTCTAAGCCAGTTGGCATGCTGCACTTTCTATTTGTAGAGTTATGAAGTACTTCCGTATTCAGTGCGTGGGAGAACGGTGCAGCAAATACAAAGTGTGAAATCTCAATAAAGGTGGAGAAAATAAGGAAATTTAAGGACATATAGTGGTGATAGGTTTTCAAATGTTTTGCGTCTTCTTTCTTCTTTCTCTGCTTTCTCAAAGCTGAGTGCCACGTAATCGTCGATAAGAAGCATCGACAGCGAGGTTCTTTTTTCCGCAAATGTGGAGCATTAGCTTAAAAATCTTCTTGAAATACTTCTGAGTAGCCAAACCTTTCACATCGCAAGCATACGTATACCCTTCCAATTCTGCCAAGGCGTGAGTGGCGTACGACTCATGTGTGGTAGAGTACTTTGACGCTTGTAGTTATTTATTTTTTTTTTGGTTTTTGTTCTGGTATGCGAACACCTTCCACAATACTTTTGTATAAAATCAGTGGCTACCATAGATGGTATGCCATGCGTCAGACCATAAAAGCTGTTTTCTATAGATTGTATCTTGCGAAAAATCGTTATTGAGACTACATTGCTTGTCCAGTTGAGTGTCGCTGTGGCTTTCCCGCCTATTGTATACAAAGAGCACAAAACCGTTAAGTAAGAAGGGTGGTATAATTTTTCCGCTTCACAAATATAGGTGTTTGGGAAGCTGTTTGTTTTGGACGCCATGAGTCTTATACGATTTCTTCCGCAGTTAAATGTTTTTAGTAGTTACGCATTTATTCTGAATGTGAGAAAAATAGCGCCTAATTTAACTTTTCGCTTAGCCACCGCTTCAATAAGTTGAACCCTAAGACATAACGGTCCTTACTTTGTCATCCGAAAGGTTTATGAAGTTTATCGTGGAAGGATTTTGAGGTTTTTTTATTACTTGTTAATGTGGACTAATTCCAAATGATGAGCGCAGAAGTGCGAGTTTGCATAAGCTGCGGACGAAGCTCTCGGCGTGGATTTGCTCTTTGCGGGTCGTGGAGGCCGTCGTGATGATGGTGTTAGTGGGTAATAGCCGTTCGCTAAACCTCTACGGGAATCGAATTATCGTATCAATTACACATTTTTAGCAGTGGGAGAGCTGTTTTCTGACCACTCAATGTGAAATTAATGGCTTATGTCTTTTTCCACGTGGCAATAAAGATTTTCATTATTTGTTCCTAATTTTATTCATTTAGAGAATTTAGCAACACTTATTAGAAACGTCAAGTACTAAACTTCAAGGATCACGCAAAATTTATCACTAGTGAAATAATCACAATCTTAACCCTTTTATTTACTGCCTTCTTCTTCTTAATGGCAGGGTATGTTGCGAAATATAACATACCCTGCCATTAAGAAGAAAAAGGCAGTAAATAAAAGGGTTAAGATTGTGATTATAACTAAGCATCAGCTTAACTGGGTTCAATGCCGATTTGGGCTCCCCAGATCAATCCCGTTGACGGGTGATTGCTGATGGCAAAAAGATCGAATGAACTAGCTGAGAGACAGGCGAGACGAAGGACCCGGATGGTGTAGTGGTGAAGTGCGCTGCTCCCCGGTAAGGACAATAGGGTGTGTTCGTTCCCCACTGCATTCACCTGCGGTCCGGAGTTTTGCAAATATCTCAGCATTTCATACTAGTGAAATACTTATGAAAAAAGTGAAAAAAATGTGATGTAGGAATGTGCCTGATTTATAGGTAGCTTTAATTAGTTATGGAAAGAGTTGTATGATGAGTTATGTAATTTTTTTTTTACTTTTGTAGTGTTGTTGTTATTCTGTTTTGGTGGGCGGTGGTGGTCAAAGTGGTCAAGAAAAAATTGGCCACATTTCTGAAACGATAAAGTAATTTCAGACTCAACAGCTGCGACCTTTTGACGGATGATGAGCAGCGCATGTCGTACACTAGGAGCAGTTTGTTTCTATTCGACGAGGATGTGACTACAGACAACAGGGTGAATCCTTCAGTTCGCGAGAGGCAAAGTGTCGCGGTAGGCCGACAGAAACATAGGGCTGCGTTAGCACGACTTCTTCCCTAGATACCTCTTTGGAGCATTTCGTTAAAATAAATTCTGAAAACTCCTTAATATGCACTCCTAATTTTCTTTAAACAGTTATAAGATCCAAAAGTTCGATAGATATTCTTCGGAATCCTCTTAATGGTAGAAAGCGAATTGTTTTCTCCGATTCCTTTATCAGTGAGGCTGCGGGAAAGTGAAAGCTTAGAATAAATTAGTTGGTCTGCAGTTCGCATTTGCTATACCTTCGTAGGAGGTTATCGTCTAGAAGTGCCGCTTAGCGCTCATCGAGCCAAAGTGCCATATATCTCCTCCAGTCCTCTCTTATCTTTCGCTATAACACGTGAAGCTTCATTATAAGATTATCTGCATCACTGACTCCTATTTTCACTTCATATATCTCGTAAAAAGCAGTTCCACATGTTTTTGTTGATGGCAGCTTTGTGGTTGCACCTAAACAATGGCTTATTTTCAAAGTTTTCGAGAAATACTCGTTTTTTGCGTCCATCAATTGTTTAGTATGTTGTGCATTTCGTTGAAAACGCCAGCAGAACCCTATACGTTCGAGTGTTCCAGTGAATATGAAACCTTAACGTTGCCTTGTTCCAAAACAATGCAAACTTCTAACAACTTTGGCTACATTTTAGACTGTTGTGGAGTTAACGTTTGCGATATGTCTTGTAGCTTGCAAGCCATTGATCATGCTAATGTTCTTCGTTAGACTACTAACTCTCAAAGATGCTCATTATAGTGCTGATAAACAGAAAGGATCACTGGAAAATTTCATTCTCGATATGGTCATAGATAAGCTATAATTCCATTTCACTTTGAGCTCTAACATGCCAGAGTACGATTTAGGGTAGATTGCATGAATCGTTTCGAAATTTCTTCAATGCAAGGCTATTATATGGTCTGAGCTGTCATGGTAGTATATGCTCTAATTTGGCTAACGAGGAAGTTAAATAACTAGGGGATCAGATTGATTTGATACAAAAAAAAATCAAACACTTTTTTGTTGCAAGCCTCTAGTGAATAGAAGGGCTAGATGATACGGTCAGCCGCGTTCGTTTCAAGACCTACAAAAGATGCTCAATTTTATTGTTCCTTATCCTTCCACACTTTAACTGCGAATAATATAAACTAGAGACCTGGGGGATGGAAAAAAATAAGTTAGATTTGCTTCTTTGACTCAAATACTAGTTTCTTTCGAGCATCTTCGAACAACAATTCTTTATTTATTAGATACGGCCTTAAATGGCAACGTAATTGTTATTCTATGCAGTGGATGTACGTAATCCGAACGATAATGCAGACTTCGACCAGTGTTTTTGAACAAGAGGATAAGGGATGTCGTTTCATCTCTTTTTTATCTGTCGCTCTTTTTCAAAAGGGACATTTATTTTGAAACATCTACCGTTTCCGAACCTTTGTTATGTCGATCTAACCTCTTAATGGGCGAGTGCACCGCAGTGGTTAGAAGCGCCTTACAATACACATAAGATCTATCCTAGACCCCAGGCTCACCAGGCCTTCCATTCCTCTGGGGTTGGTACCATATCTGCTTAGAATGACAGCAGCACTGACTCGATACATCGGTAGGGCACCTTAAATCATTGTAAAGACCAGATGTGCATTCAATCGTCCCTAATGGTACTTGATCATACTAAATACATGGTGAATCCCTCAAGGATTGACTAACTCAGAAATTTATCCTTTTTATTTACTTAGTTCCTTAATGAAGTGAACAAAAATGCCCTCGAAGAAGTTAGTTGAATAGCAACCGTCAGTGGCAACCTCTGATCACCTGATGAAAAGGAAAGGATTGATCGTTCCAAAGTAGATGGTGAGAGTTGCTCTTGGGAAATTCTCACACAGTACTAATAACAGTTCCTCTTAGGAATGACGGAGCACAAATCCTTCTACGACTATCAAAGGGTGAGAAGCTCTGTTTTTGCGAGTAGTTACTTTTTCCCTGTAGAAAAACATTTTTAAGCAATCTCGTTTTCAAGTTAAAAAGAACATAAATAGGTGCCCTTTCGAAAGCTTGGGCTGTTGCATTTCCCGTGAACTTTGACTAGCCCATTGCCAGTGGTAGAACTTACCCGTTACTCCTATGTTCACGACCTGAAATGTGATTTTCGCCATTCCGCTTTAGATATATTTTCTATTGGCGTTTATAACTCGCAGTACCACTATTCTTTTTTACTCCCTATCTATGTATTTATATCTATATTTACACTTACATTTATATTTATATTTTTGTGCATACACGATGGTTGCATGACTCGTCTTTTCACATCTATTCTGCTTATCCAAGCACTCCTTGGATTTGATTTGTCCCTCGTATCCGTCATCCATAAAATTTTCCCAACTTTTCACTTGTGGGTTTGACAGCGGCTTGAGGATTTTCCTTTCGTCGTAAATGTGGCCGAATGCCCACCGACTCAATTCTTCTTTGAAGTTTTGAGATGAAGTCAACACCTTTATCATTTGGATTGCAGCAAGTATTCCTTTTTCAGACAGGTCTGGTACAAAATTTCCGACCCTGTAGGGATCAGAAGTTTCGTTGATGCGCTGAGAAGTTGCTCCAGCACCGTGATCGCGATGACCTGCATGAGTACCACTGAGATTACCGCTTTCTATGGAGAACGAACACGCGCTGTTGTCCTTACCGGAGAGCAGCGCGTGTTCGTTCTCCATTGCATACACCTGTGGTCCGGAGTTTTGCAAAAAGGCAGTAAATAAAAGAGTTAAGAGTGGACAGTAAATAATAAGTTAAAATTGTCGTTATATTATTTAAATCCATATTCTTTTTCACTCTGACAAATTTTTTGTCTTCTTATTTGTCTTTTTAAAGCTGTACATTTTCTTAATAAGCTCTCGATATAAAACCACGAAGACCAATTGAATACTGCGGGGATAATTGTTTATGTAAAGAAAGCAATGGTTTTCGCTGCTTTTCAGTGTCATATGCACCCTTCTCCCAGCGTCTTTCTGACTTCTCGCCACCTTTCAATGCTTTTTCATTATGTGATGAAATACTGAAGTTCACGGTTTTATCGTCATCTGATTCGGCATGCTGCACTCAACCAGTCCGTCGAATTCTATACGCGCTGTGAGATCCATGTTTTATCTGTAGCGCCATTCATTTGAAATGAGTAACTACCTTAACGTGGTGAAATAATATTCACATTCGCTTCACATGGTAGAATTTTGAATGTAGATAAAAGGCGTTATTTTATAACTTTGATATTTTATCTTTTTAACGGCAAGCGAACCACCTGATGAACTCCAAGGAAGAATTTTGCCAAATTTGCAGCAAGTCGTTTTAAGAGAGAAATCTACTAAGGCCGCGATTTTCGAGAACACTTGCCATTCGAATAACCCTCAGATAGTTTCGTTCACTATTTTATGCATTTTTATGCTTTAAAGCATTGGCTCCGAATTGGCACCAGCTTGCGCCTGGATCTTCTCTGTTTTTTAACGATACGTATTGTTTATCGCTTCTTCAAAATCCGAGCAACGTCTGCTGTCGGTGCTTCAAGGTGAACTCGCAGTGTACGTATTCCAAATATTCAGAAAACTCTGAAGTGATGGGGATAGCTTGCCCTTTCACAAAACACTTCATCACACATCTCTTTAATTTCGCTCTATAGGACCGTCTCATAATCTGTCTATCTGCCGCTAGCGACGGATTATATTTTGCTAAGAAGATTACATTAATTCCGCTCTTCCTTAAATGCTTTTGCGATTAATGAATTGCCCTCAAATCTCCATTTTTTTATTCCATAAAGGCTTTCCAATTCCAATGGTTTACCGTTTCACTATACTGAGTGTTGCTTCCGGGATCAGTTAAGCTGAAATTAACATTGACGTTTCTTTTGGAAACCAGCAGAGTAACCCTTTGCCATGACACAACTTCCGGAGTCACTGATAGCTACTTTTTTACCAATGATGAGAAGAATAGAAGATCATGTAGCCAGTTATCATTCTGTCTTTGTGTCCCAAACGAACTGGACTCATTGCGTAACTCCGACACACGACAATAACGACGAATGGACAGTAGACATTGTAGTGCCACTTATTACGAATTATTTTTCTGTGATGCATTTTGAAACTGCTCAAGAACTGAGGACACTAACTCTAACGGAACATTCCAACTTATGGCTACCGCAATTGTGTCCTATTTGAAGGTTTTCCGAAACTCTTGCCTTGTCCACGAAACGATCTAAGACAACTAAAAGCGTGCGTCCTGCTCCTTGCAGGAAAGCTGCGTCCATTTCTTCGTCGTCGATTGCTAAAAATGTTTTTTAGTCTGTCGTTGAACTATTTTGTAATCAGAAAAAATTGATAGGCTTTTTTTTGAAAAAAGAATTTTGATTTTTTGAATGATTTTGAAGAATTTGGTTTCTTCTTCTCCAACTTCGGCTTCGTTCTAGGCATTTGCACTTTTATTTTCTTATCATGTAGAATTTTCGTCCGCAGCTTGCCAGTAATGTTGTCATCTATAGTCTAATAGTCCTCGTGAGACCTAGGCTACTGGAACAAAAGTGAAAAAACAATTTCGAACAGTTTCTTTTGGAAGAATTCAAGTGCAAACGTAAAACTCGTAATATCTACACTATGTTTGGACTTTTCTCGATCACAATCGTGCGATGCATCATCGTCTGCAAAGGTTTCGTGGCTGGGTTGAAAGTGCTGAAGACGAAAAAGACTGGTGACGACCTCCATAGTCGAAGCTCTTCATATGAAGACGACAATTGCAGCGGAACCACGCGTATGATTCGAGGCTGTGCAAGTTAATTAGACCTGAGAAAAACTACAATTTCGGAAAACTTCTGAAGTAGAGGTTCCGAAAAAGTCCCAGCCATCAGTGAACGGAATTAAACAAAAGCGGTCGCTTTGAATTTTGTTACGCGTTGTTCACTTGTGCCACAGAGGTTCGCTTCTGAACCATGACGTGCGACTAAATGTGGATTCTGTATAAAAGTCAAGAGGCTTTCATTCATTGTGGTAAAAAGCATTTCGTCAGACTAAATTTTATTGAAATAAAGTTATGATGATGTTTTCAGTATGGAAAGGTGGACTGATTCGCAATAACTACTTTAGCTTTGGCAAAACCATTGCTGTGGGATACTATTGTCTGGAAGTCGGCGAAAAGCACCAAGTAAACAACACATTCAACCCGCAGTAGGGCAGAAAAGACCAATTCTGCTGCATGGAGAAGTTCGACCGAGGATTTCTTCGTAAACACTGAAATCTTTCAGTGAATTTGAATGCGGAACCCCCATGCTTTGGAGGACACTTCAGCTAATTTGCTGTCGAAAATTCTTTCAAACAATTTCATGCTCTAGAGAGCTTGAATATTTGGTTTTTTTTGATAAAATACATACTCTTGTGCCATTTTAGCACAGCCTTTAGATTCAAGTGGGCTTAATTTCGTCCTGTAGAGTTTTGAATATGTTGGGGCTACTTGCTGGTTGGGCAACTCTCGCTTTTCCTTGGAATTTCGAAGAATTTGTGTCAGGGTGTTTCATGGCCGTCGTCACAGGCAATGCCGACGCTTTCTTATTGGAGGGTGGTTTGCCATCCTACGACTAGCGTTCCTTCAACGTCGAAGATTTCTTGCACTGTGGTTTTGTTTTCTTGTTCCTTATCCATTTTGTCTTTTAAAAGCGATAACAGTGTAGTAGTATTTTGTTTCCTCTTATATTTACTCTATTCTGTTCTTCTTAATGTTCAATTGATATAGTAGCTCATATAATTTTATGGGAAAGAACCATTCCATAGGTAATTCTGCCTACAAATAACGTAAATGAAATCATAAAACCACTGACATAGAGGATAAAAAATGATGAACTTCTTCGAGGTCTTGTCGTATGTGAAGAAATTTGAAGGTTCCTAGCGTTATACTTGTGACGGCAGGCCATGTGTTCGAAGGACTCGATTGCTCTGACACTGAGAAACGAGTGTCACTAATGGGTGAACTGGAGAGAATGAGAACCAGGAAACAAAAGAAAACATGGAAGACGTTATCTGTTCTAGTCCAAAGATCGACGATTATTGTTCCATTAGCAACCGTTACAATTTCGGCATGCCCTTCTTTTAGTGTACTTGCTGAGATAACGAGCCGCTGTTACAGCACCATTTACGATTCCTCACTATGCCAATTCTTTGTTGTCTATCGAAACAAGGATTTGTTCTACTTTGTCGGCTTATGTATGTGTATCGTAAGTAATATTTTGGTGTGGTTATGTGCTCCACCTCCAAACCTGTTGGTCGGTCGTTCTGGTTTTTTCCTTTTTGAGTTCGTCGCTTATATATCCCTTCGATATTTTCCGCAAGTTCCATTTTGCACATTCCATCTGATCCTCGCTGGCGCTTCTTGGTACAGTGCATTGCTGAATGTTGTTTGTGAATTTTTTATACTATTACCTATGGTAATGTCGTATTGTCGACGGTAAGAGTTTGCTTGTCTGACAAAGCCCAAGAATTGTGGAATCAGCATTTTGATGAATATTAGAAGTATGAGAAACATCGTCTCACAAATATCTGCATTATGAATGTTCTAAAGGCATTTTCTTCTGTAATAACACCACTCAGGAAAACTTTTACTTTTAGAGTTCTCATAATTCCTTACGGAAACTATATCGTTTACTCGAATATATTCCATTCAATACATAAAGATGCTTGGTTTAGAAGTAAGAATTCTTTAATTATGCTGAGATATTTGAAAAAGTACTAACCGCAGGTGTCTGCGGTGGGGAACGAACGGGCTTTTGTCCTTTCCGGGGAGCCGCGCGTTCACCACCACACCATCTTTTGTTTCGCCTGTCTCTCAACTAGCTCTATCGATCTCTGCCATCAGCAATCACCAGTCAGCGGGATTGATCTGAGACAATAGTGCGTTCGTTCTCCATCGCAGACACCAGCGGTCCGGAGTTTTGCAAATATCCCAGCATAATTGAAGCTAAATTTCGCAATACATCTTGCCACTTAAAAGAGTAGGCAGTAAGTAAAATGGTTAAAAAATCTTTTTTGTAATCAAAGTTTGTGGGATCGTCGTGTTAAGGGGAAGAGAGTGTGACAATCATCTGTTCTCCTTTTAGCACTTGATTGCTTTATATGAAACCACCACTAAACTTCCTCAACACCAATTAGTATTGCAATAAATTAGGGAAATAACTAAATACAGGAATGAGATGAATATAGGTAAAAACGAAGCCAAAGTTAGATAGGGCCCCCGTTGTGTAAATTGTTTCATGTGAACAACAGCAACGAATAGATAGTAAGTGAAGCAAGTATAACAACGTCGTACATTGACTGAACAAGTGTTATTGCAGAGAGATGTGAGTTCCTCGTTTATTAGTTCTGTTTTCACCAGAATGCTTTCAGCTTGACGAAATGGACGATCGATCCGTACTGCACTACGAGCTCGGCTTCTATGAGAAAAGTGGCAGTCACTGCTATCGTGGCAGTCTCACGTTCGCTCTTCGCTACGACTTCATTCATCGTGTGCTGATGCTGCACGTGATTCGCGCGAACCATCTGAATGTTGAGGTGAGACGAAAACGTCCTCTTCCAGAAATCTTGCACAGTTGTCTGTTCGGCTTATGAGATGGAAATGCTTAAACATTTTAAAGAATTTTCCTTATCTTTGTCCATTTCCTACAAAAAGCTCTGGAGTTGCCTCCTCTCATGTGTTCTGAAAGATGCTTATCATGCTGTGCGATATGAGTTCATAAATAATGCAGATCTTTTTATACATGAGCAGGCAGCTCGTAATGCAATGAAGTAACATTTGACACAAAAAATGAATGAAATCGCTAAGTCTTCGCTCCTTTTGGTTGTGCCCTATTGGGAAAAAAGTAGGCTAAACACAATCAAATAACGTTAAGTAAAATTAGGCAGTGAAAACTCTCAATAGCATTTTCTTGTACTACATAAGTACTCTTTTTCCTTAACTGAATTAGAGTTCAGCAGTACTTCCCTTTTCAGGAGAAAGGTCGAACCGTTGATCCGTATGTAAAGATGTACTTACTACCAGAAAGGAGGAATCACTGCAAAACGCGGATTTGCAAGAAGTCATTAGATCCAGAATTCAACGAAATGTTCTCATTTGACGTTCCCTTCAATAGCCTCTCTGGAAGGATGTTACAGGTGCATATTCTGCAAACAACATGTCACTACGACTCAGATTCCTTTGTTTGCGACATTTTTTATATTATACGTATCTAATATCTCAAATTCCGTGTGATGCTTACCAACAATCGACAACACCATTCGACGTTGCTGAGCTATAGGCAAGACTCGGAACCTCAGATGCTCTTCGAATCAGCGGTTATCCTTGTCGAAACTCGCATGCATCCGCTGTACCAACCGAAGCCCTTGCTTTGCTTCTCTCTCAGCCTGTTTTTTGCCCTAACAGTCCTTTCAGTATTCAACCGTCAACAGGAATGATCTAGGGAGCGCAAATTGCCATTGAACCCAGTTATGTTGAAACTGTAGTCAAAATCGCAATCTTTTTAGTTTTATTTATAACCTATTCTTTTTTCATGACAGGGTATTGTGTGAAACAACGACAACGACAAGGATACTGAGATATGGACAAAACCTAAAAATCTCAGATGGGCTTCAAACCGGGTGTAGATCATATAATGCCGTGCCATAAAAAAGAGTAGACAGTAAATAAAGCATAAGGGACAGAGCTATCGGTGTTTATCAATCAATGAGGGATGGGTCACGCATTCCACTTCATAAAGCATCATTAGAGGTTACTGAATCCATACCTGGCCTATTGATTGACACGCGGTGGCCTACCGAGGTAACGAGCCAGTGCCGTTGTCCTCGCTGTCAGGTATGCTACCAATTTGCCGACTCTGGATGGATAGAAAACTTGGTGGACCTTGGACTCGAGCCTGAACCCATGTGTTTTGAAGCGCACCTCTAACCATTGCGCCATACGCGTTACACGCAATGAGTGAAAAAAATTGTATTAATTTTTTATTTGTTTATTCGTTTATTTTATTATTATTATTACTTTATTTTTACAATTTTGAAATATTGCAATGAATAAGGTTTAAAATTAAGTACATGGTTTGGCTGCTTGTTCTTTAGCTAGTTTGCTTATGAAAAGTTTTAACTAACGTTTTCCAAGGGCAGCTACACCTTTCGAAAGGAAAGTTCGGATTACAAACCTTTTTACATAGTCTGCCACTTAAATGTTATCTATAGTCGGGTTGGTCATCAACGAATTGCTGGTGGCACTAGCTTTTTATCCCTGTAGTGCGTTAGGACTACTGTGGATGAAAATGGGCAGCGCTTGGTGCAGCCCACCAAGAAGCAAGGTACTCGATCGTCACCCTCCTCAACGCTTTCCTCCAATCGATACGGGATCGACTTAGCTGGGCTGATCCTATTACTGTAAGGAGAATAGACTCGACCAGCATTCTACGGCGTTCTTTACGAAGACGAAACCTTCGAGTGGAAGCCATGTGGCATGCGAAATTTCTGAAGACCTTTATGGACGATGAATGCTATAAAAGCGTAAGGAATGCAGGAAGTGCTGCGATTGGCAAAGTAGATGTGATGACAGGCCATTTAAAAATATGTACTTAGCAAGCAAGTTGCCATACGTTCTTTCTACCATGGTATAAGTTTATTACCTTTCCGAACGCAATACTCCACCCATGTTCCTAATAATGGAGAGAAAATCTCGATGGCTGAGCTCAAGACAAGAGGTTACGGGCGTTACAGGTGTAGACCAATAAATAGTTTCAACCAATTTTTACCTGTATATTAAAGCAGAGATGTATACAGTACAGTTGTCAGAAGCGCGTGCAATGCCTAATAGATCGGTTGCTGTTTCTATCCCACGCACTAGACTCCACAAACCTTCCATCACGCCGGCGTTGGCAAATCGGTACCACGCATGTCTAGGAGGGCAGAATCACTGACTTGATACATCGGTTGGCCATCGCGAGTTATTGTAGAGGCAAGATATGCATTCAGTTATCTCTCTATGATGCTTGCAGAAGTTGAACATATGACGCATTCCTCGGGAATTGATCAATGCCGAAAGCTCTACTCTTTTTTATATCAAGGCCCCTTTTTATACTGTTTTTCTTACACGCTCGTCTGGATATCCAGTTTAAAGTAAATTGACTGCAGCTAGCACAACTTTCTCCGGTCCACTGCCTTACGACTGTCGTTGGAAATTCCTCATGATGTCATCCTGACACTGCTATCGTGAAGCACTAGGAAAAGATTTACCCTGCAAAATTCCAGTCAAGTGGTTAGTACGACGAACCCCAATCTATTCTTTGAGATGGGCTAAAAAAATGTCTAAACGTGTGTACAGTTTCCACGATCCATTTGTAGTTAACGGTGACACTTGTCGATAAGTTCCTATGTTCTTTACGAACCGGTACATTGTACTTATTACAATGTCAGTTTCACAAGGCATAAGACATTGGAGGATTCCGTTTTTTCAGAACTTGGATTGGATCATATTAACATGCCGCCTATTTAGGCAAATATCTTAGGCTCAAATAATAAATTCTGGTATCTCGTTTATGTCTTATACTCTAAGATAATCTAATATCAAGCTGTAACTCATCTTTGATTTCCTAATGAACTAAAATGAGCTAAATATCCCTATTAAGTACAAATATTTTATGACATCAATTGGTTATTGTTTAACTTTTCCTACGACTGTCTCTGTGGAACAAAAACCGACTACGTAATGTGTCACATCGGCGGATATGTCTTGGTTAGCTCGTTGATAGTTGCTTCTCCGGCCGCGATGGTCGTATTCAAGCAACTTGAAGTGCAGTAGATTGCAGGAAGAAGTAGAATTAAGACAATTACATACTCTAAGTTTGAGGATTATGATAAATAAACTAGGAATTATTCTCTAAAGCTGGAGAATAGATAAGGAGAGAAGCGCGTGTGACGCAGTGGTCGAAGGCGCTCTGCAACACACACGTGGAATCAATCTCCGCGCCCATGGCGCACCAAGCCTTCCATCCCACCAGGATTGGTAAATTGGTACCGGACTTGTCTGGGAAGATAGCAGCACTGGCTCGATACATCGGTAGGCCACCTCGAGTCATTGTGAATGCCAGATATGCATTCAATCACCTCCAAACGACAGTTAATGGAATCGAATGCGTGGCGTATCCCTAGGAGATTGATCAAAGTCGAGAGCCGTTTTTAAGATACGAAGATACTGTTGTTCGTCTGCAGTCAATCCGACTTCTCCTATGGCACATAGTGATGGGTATGTAACTGAAACAAGTAGGCCACTATATAGTGAAGGTTTAAACTGAGCAAAATTCTCCACTGAGTACTCATGGAATCACAAGAATCTAAAACATCAACGTTCGGACCTCTTCAGGCGTTTTCAACAAGCTCCAAAAACTCAGTATTGGAGGGCAAAGGCTCATGCGTCATAGCCAACCGTGGTCAACACTTCATGCATCGTGATCTTTGTACGAGTAGTCTTCATTCACTAGAGTGAAAGCGACACTAGAAGGTAGCTGCTTATATGGCTGTTTATCACGTTAGCGAAATTAAGGTATCATTTTTTCTGATGGTGTTGAAATAGTTGGCGAGCAGGCCACATACCTACATGGTCTCCCAGAAAGCTGAAATCTGTAGTGGCCCTTACCGTTGTGATATAAGTGTTACGAATATTAAGACTCCTATGTTAGCTTATCGGAAACAACAATAACCTAAAAATAAAATCGCGCAGTGAAGGATCTGTTTGCCAAATGTTCATAGTTAGGCATAGTTTTTTTCAACTAAAATAAGCAGACCATCTTATTTCACCTGCTACGCAGGTTTCAATACAGCTTCAGAAATTTCTCTTCTATGTTAATATATGGATGTAGCACCTTCGAGAGAATTGTTTGACTGAGACATTCGCGTCAAATTTCCCTTTGTATCCGGTCCGAAGACAATTCGAGGGAGTTTTCCTGCGCACAGTTTTGCTATCGTTGCATTTAATCACATTATAATCAAGATGTACATATTACGCTGTCCTCGCTGTCACTGAAAAGTTCATTCATTTCACCCGTTCACAGTCGTTGAATACGTCTTATTGTTTCAGAAGTTTCTATTTAGGGCGTTAGATTTAAGTGGATAAATGTAGTATGTGCTTTTCAACTTCTATTAAAAGCTAAAGATTAAGATTTTGGCGTTGATCAATCCCTAAGCGATGCGCTATGCATTTGACTACACTAAGCATCGTTGGAGGTGATTGAATGCATATCTGGCCTTTACAATAACTCGTGGTGACCTACCCGTGTATCGAACCAGTGCTGTTATCCTCCCAGGTGAGTTTGGTACCAATTTACCGACCCCGGAGAGATGGAAGGCTCGGTGGGCTATGGACTCGGGATCGACTCCACGTGTGTTGCAGAGCGTCTCCGACCACTGCGCCACACGCACCCTTTCTTCTATTAACCTATTAGAAATATTACCAATAGGATCACCGTTTTCTCTTTAATACATTACAACCGTTACCGCGTTTCGATATTGGTCCAACCGATTACAAGTAGTTTTTCGTCTGCTGCAGGTATTCTGGTTTTCTGACGATAAAAAGTTTTTCTGAATAAGTAGAGATGCCGGGGCATTGGAAATATGACAGACTTTGCTCTATTGTTTTATGGTTATCAATGATATATATGCTGGCTATTAATCGCGATTTCTTTCAGTTCACAGTATACGACTTCGATCGGTTTACACGACACGGCTTGATAGGGAATGTAATCATGAGGGACTTATTCGACAAAAGCGACCTTTACTCGTGGACTGAGTACACTATGCAAATCGTTGGAAGTCAAGTGAGTGAGCATTTGCACATCAAAAACTTTCCAATAGAATCGAATATTTTTTAGGAAAAGAATGACTTCGGCGATTTGTTATTGTACTTATTATACTCCCGTAATGAACAGAAACTTTATGTGACAGTAGCGAAAGCATACAATCTCCGACCAATGGATATAACTGGTGCATCTGGTAAGCGATGTGGACTCTTTAAACCTTTTTGAGTGACAGACAAGGTCTACGAGAAGTATCATTGTAAGCTGCGGTTAAAATAAAAACTTATAACTAACACTATTCTTCGTTCCGCTCTGATCTCCGACCACCATAGGCAATTGAATGATTTAGTAAGTTGAGTTCCAATGTGCTGTTTTTTCAGATCCATATGTTAAAGTGGAGCAGATATATAGAGGAAAACGGGTAAAGTTGCGGAAATCGAGCTGTAAACGCGCCAATCTAAATCCCGTCTATCACGAAACATTAGAGTACGATCTTCCATTGAATCAGGTGGCCGAGACGAACTTCCTTGTGCAAGTGATGGATTGGGACAGGTGGGATATCTCCACACAGCACGTATGCATGATCGCAAACATGTTGTACTAAGTGTTTGCTGACGGAGATTTTCCATAAAAATTTCAGATTTGTCGTCTTTTGAACTTAAAATGACTGGAACAACGGCCATTGAATATGTCCCATTAGCAAATAGCGTTAAGCATTGTAACACACAAAGTAATCATATTATCTAGGTTTTATCATCAAGAAACACGTATATGGAAAATTTCGAGTTACAACTTGTTAAACATAATGAGAACACTGCTTTTCAGGATAGGAAAGGACGATCTACTCGGATGCTGTGTGCTTGGGAAAGATAGCCCAACGCCAGAGGGAAGACTCCAATGGGAAAACTGTTTTCTTTCACTTTCTCAAAACGGTTCCAATGACCAAGTGCGTTAACTATTGTGCTATTCCTTCATTAGATATTAGGAAAAGGAAAACGTGATCTTCTTGAGATTCTAGAGCTTTCCTCCTTTACGATGTAACAAAATCATCATGTACGTGTCACATTAATCTCATTTCCTAAAATTATGGTGAAGAACATTTATGAAATATCCTCACAAATTGCAGCGATGAGATTACAACCTCGTTAAATCGCTCTTAGGGAAAGTGGAAAAAGGTTGTACAAAACCGAGCCGTATATAAAATATCTAATCTGTTTTAGAAACGGAAACCCATTGGACAATGGCATAGCATCTTGTCGGATGTTCCTGAGCAGTTCAGAAACGTTCCAAAGGCCAAGAAATAGCTCACTTACGACGACGCCTGCATTACTATGCAAAAATTACTTCGTCGATTTTATCGGAGAGGTCTGGCTTCACTGGAATTTCCGAAGCTGAGCCGGAATCTTCTGAACGAGAACATCACGATTCACTGATCTCAGTTCTCAGCATTTGCTGTGATACACTCTTATCAAAAGTAGCATATTCCTTTGTACACCTCAGTCATGTTTTCCACCATGCATAGTTTCCGATTTCAAGCAATTGCTCACTCATTAATTTAACGGGGAATAAACGTGTCTCATGTAATTTAGCCCATACTCTATCACATTTGCGTTTTCTTTACCTTTTTGAGAGAATTAACAAATAGTTTGAAGAATCCTTAAGAAGTATATTTGACAACATTAGGAAATCGATTGCCAATATCGACTTTCTATCAACCTCGCCATTGATTGAATTTACTGGCACGCAAACTAACTTTCGGGTTTGGTCTTTTTCAGAGTCTGGAAAGGTCAAATTCTTAGGCAATCTTCTCAGCCATACACTTTCATAACCTAACTTTAGCAGATAGGACTTAGCACATAAGTTTGTATTCGAATAATAAACGGTTTTTTTGACAGCCACCGCTTTACGCGTTTTAAGTATTCAGTTAATTGGTGGAAAGCAGCTGCACGGAGCAATACATGGGCGAGGACTGTGCCTGAGTCAGGTAATAGAAGAGCGACGGATTGGAAATCTAATAAAATCAAAAGCAATTCTACTATCTGTTACTGATTGGAGAGCTTGTAGTAATTCATCGCTAGTTAGATGTTGAGAAAACGAAAAAACATCTTGGAAACGCTTCGCTTCATCGCGCATCATCTGAAAAAGAATTCAAAGATCAACATCGAAAATTGAACAACGAATGGACCAAAGTCAAAGGTCAAAGTGGCAAAGGCGGCAGGTCAAAAACCATCAGATATTTCGCACCTTAAAATCAGATTGCCAACATATCCTCTCTTATACATGTTTATCAAAACCCATAAGTTAGTATCGCCTGATAATCTGGCGTCCACCGATCCCACAACTATGGAGTTTATACCCATCAACAATTGTGAAGACGGACCCACCGATAGAATAGCTCATGTTTACAAATCTATTACTCATCCAGTTGCTGAATCACATATCATCCCATCTCGCAAATACCCAAATGTTCGTGGATCGTCGGCGAAACGTGTGTACTGACAGAACATACGTTATGATGTCCTTCGATGTTACGGCCATTTACACTAACGTGTCGAATTACTCCGGAATGCAAGTCATCGGTGATCTTCTTCTGCAACACGAAGGAGTAATAAACATGTATGGCTTCTCGATCTAGCAGCTCATGGCCCTCCCTCCTAAAGTTTGCTTAAGCTGCTCGATCTTCAAATGGTCCGGGAAATATTGGGCACAAAGTAATGGCTTGGCAAAGAGACAGCGACTGGCACCAAGCCTTGTCATTGCCTTCATCTATAAAGCGGAAGCACCGGCAATCGATCTCCGGCCGTCACTCTACTGTAGATATTTGTTATAGATGAGCGTTTTGTCATCTGTTCCGGATAAGAGGAGTTGGACAAATGCTTTGAGTTATTGAACAAACAGTCAGAACATTTACCCGAGAGAAAGGGTAGGAAAACGCTTGCATTCCCGAGCGTTCAAATTAGCCTATCCGAAAACGGCTACATTAAAAAATAATGTGGATAGCCAACTAATAAAAATTTAGTAGTTCGTTACCACCCCTCTCACCCCTCACAAACCAAAAGACCGCATATTAAAAGAAATGCGAACAGCCGCTAGCGTGTGCACGAGAAGCGAGCTGAAGGAAGAATACTTGAAGCTGGAGCGGCAAATAGCCATTTGGAATGGCTTTGAAACTACAGCTCTTCGGCATAGACGTGAATGAAAAGCCACTTCCTTAAGCGATAATTCTAGCGCGAATAAAGTCGCGTTTATTCTGACCTTTATTTCCAACAAAATGAGTGTAGCTATAAAACGTCGCTTAAGGTGCGCCAATCCAGATAATTCGATTACAGTGATAGAAATATCATTGGACATTTTAGACGAAGGCTGGTTCGTAACCGCCTGTATTACCGTATATGTATGGAAAATTGCATAATATACCGTAACGATAAAGACGCGTATAGCACAGTGGTCGTAGGTACCCTGGAATACGCATGCGATCGATCTCCGTTCCTCAGACCCATCAAGTCTCTCCATGCCTCCGGGGTGCGCAAATTGGTGAAAGACTTGTCTGTGATGGTAGCACTACTGGCTCGATATATCACGCCACCGCGAGTTATTGTAAAGGCCGAGTATGCATTCATACACCTCCAAAGATGCTTAATGAAGTCGAATGCACTGTGCATCCCTTAGGAATAGATGAACGCTGAGAGCTTTATTTTTTTTTGTTATAACGGTATAGACGGTGATTGCATGATTCAGGTGCGGTGTACCTAATCTCTTGCAAAGTATGTGGAGACAAATACGTTGGCAAAACAGGAGGACCGCTTCATCGTATAATTGACACCAAGTTGGTAAAGTTAAAGTTAAACCAAATACTCCACTAGACGCGCATAGCACGCAAAAACATAACGGAGAAGATTTTGAACTAAAAGTCACTATCCTCTCACAGGAATCCGAAAAAGTCTTAAGGACTTTTGGATTAATCCCAAAAATCCAAAAATAAACAACAAAGAAGAGTGTCCTGTTATTATTCGTGACCTAACAACATACCTCAGGCTTATTCTATGATATGACCTAGACACAGTCCTCGCCCATCTATTACTCTGCGTGGATGCTATCCATCAGTCAACTGAATACTTAAAATGTATAAAACGGTGGTTGTTAACAAGGAGTTTATTATGGAAATTAAAACTTACGTTTTAAGTCTTATCTACTAAGGTTATGAAAGTGTTTCGCCGAGTAGATTGCATGTCAACTTGACCTTTCCAGGCTCTGAAAAAGGCAAAACCGCCGGAAGGTCACCCACCTATTGTGTGCTGATACATCCTGCAATACCAACGTCGTGTTTGCTCGTTGAAGGAAAACAGTGGATTCCGAAATCAGGTCAAATAATATCTTGTACTTCATATTTTCGCACGTGAACTGTTCAATTATGTTCAAATTCCGCTCAACACATTCCTCTTAACAAAAACATTACTGAATGAAATAACATTTCTAGCTTCTCATCATATTAAAATGCTCCAGTGAGATGCGGGGTTTGAATGTCAATCTTCTTACATATCAGCTCCCACAAGGACAGTTGTCGAATATGGCGTGTAGTGAAGAGGATTTGATCATGCAGAGAAGGATCAACAGAAGAAGGGAACAGAGTCATCCACAACAACTCGGTCGCCATGCTGACCGGTGTTATTTGATCCTTTCCTATATCCATAGGCTTACACGAAGTTTTTATAAACCTTATAACTAACTTTTACAGCTAGCTAATGTTTCGACGAAACAACACCCACATCGCTACAACTATCGGCTGTGCTCAAACGACTCAAATCATCGTCGTTTGATGAAGGCAAGACAATGCAGTGTTAGCTAGTTACAGAGATAGTAAAGTTCTATAATGACTTCGTACATTTTTTATTTTATTTTATTTGACCCGTCTTTATTTCTACTGTGCGGATCCTAGCACTTCTCAAATTCAATTCGTTTCCTCGCATCCATTGACCACGAAGACCTTCCAACTTTTACGTGTGGTTTCGGTTGCTGCTTGAGGATATTCATTTCATCTTGAGTGTCGTAGAATGCTAGTCGAGCAACTCTCCTCAGAGTCCCGAGATAACCGGGCTGGAGGATTCCCATTTGGATGGCAAAGAGTGAAAGATTTTTCCCAGACAAGTTTGGTACGTTTCCAGACCCCAGAGGGATGAAAAGCTGGCTTAGCCCACAGCGAAATCGAAATATCATCATGTATAGTAACTGTTGCCAGAATAGTTACTACGCTTTCATCACATCGTATATTCGCGGCCCCTCACAGCACTTTGCGATCTTGCAGCATGTAAACGTTTTTACTTCGTTGAGGGAACTTTTGTTGTCGTAAACATCCTTTGTGATCCACACTCTTTATACAATCGGAACTTTTGTGTGTTGCATCTGTTCCAAACCATCACGGGTACGGTAACACCAAGAGACACGAAGCTGTCCGGGAAATCGTCCTCAGTCATCTGATCACGAGGCAGCTGGAGACGAAAGTTGATGGGTGTTTTCGGTAATTCTGGACCTGTGCAATGGACTGCCTCCTCCAAAAGATATTTAAATAGCCCCGTGCGCCAATACCGTATTCGCCCCCTCCTCCACTCCCTTGTTCATCATGTGTAATGCGCCTTGTAGTTAATCCAAGGTGTTCTCTCTTGTTGTATGTGGTCAATGTTGCATATTAGCTTTGCTGTCATGTACCTCTGAACACGCTAACTCTACTGTGTGTTCACATTAACCTCATCGCAGCATACGCTTACATGCATTTTTTTAATACGTTAATCTAATCGCATTGTACCTAAAAGTTAACACATAGGCTCACCGCAATGTTATAACAAGCTTACATGGCGCTATTAACGTGTTAACCTCATCAGAACCACATCACAAGCGTACATATAGTGTGTAACTCTTTAGTATTGTTGTTTGTGAGTTAGGTATTACGACCTTATATAAATCCCTTAATGAGCCTGGATCTTGTGACACTCTTGAGGTATTCTAAATGCACATGGCAGTATTTTACTGGCCTATAGCAAAGATAACCCGCATTAACCTCATTTATTGATCATGATACAATATTGCAGTTTGTATTGTACCAATGTTTATATTTCGTTACTCTTGAGTTATTACTGTTATAAACGGTTTAACTACCCAATTCTGAAATATTACTCTGCGAAAAGTACAAAAAAGTCACGCGTGGCAACACCAACGAAGTCGAAAATCCTACTCAAAGCTAGTGATCATAAGGTGCCCAGAACTGACTCGAAGACCTAATTTCCACAAGCAACTGCTATACCATGCTCGTAATGACGGAAATCACTACTATTGTGCTATTCGCTTCCTAATGACCTCGTATACTTACTTACATGGTTGTTTGGACATTCCGTCTTCACGAGCTGCGCAGACCCTAGCACACATGCCATTCCTTCCTTTCTCTCGCAATCGTAGTCCATGGTGGTGGCCTTGTTCGAGCATGGCAGCGCTTGCGAGTCTCATATCGTGATCTGTAAAACAACTGCAGCTGCAGATACAGCTGATTAACTTTATTTACGAACACGTCCGCCCAACGTGTAGCTGGTCGTCCAAGAGAACGTTTGTGTTCTATTGGAGTCCACTTTACTGTTCTTTTCGCCCATCTGTCGTCGGCTCTTCCCATTATGTGACCGGCTCATCTATGTTTCGCTGCCGATGTATATTCTCCTGGGTCTCGAAGATGTGACAGATTTCGAAGGTCAGAGCTTCGCACTCCGGCTACATATTGAGAGTACCACTTGAATTTCAGAAGGCATCGTTCGAACGCTCTGTGAGTGGTGCGAAACATTCTTTACGTGGTTGAAGTATCAACCCACGTCTCTGCAGCATAACGGAGCGCTAGGAGGACCGTAGAATCGAAGAGTTGAGTGCGGATTTTCGGGGTCCTTCCATTGGTCGGTGGCTTCTTTGAGAGGCCCGAATGCGGCCCAAGCTACTCTCTTTCTTCTATCTAGCTCCTCGTTCATGTTGTTTTCCATGTTCATTGATCGCCCAAGGTAAACGTACGAGGTGTTCTCTGCAATGAGAGAGCCATCCAATTTAATTTTTTCGCCTTAGCACCATGGTTTTTCTATGAACTGGATCTTCTTTCGATTTATGCGCAGTCTGATCTTTTCCCCACTTCCTTGAGCTTGTTGATCATCACTTCTGCTTCGCTAGTGCTTCTTGAGAAGATGACAATGTCGTTGGCAAAACGAAGGTTTGATAGGGATTTTCCATCAATACGTATGCCCTTCTCATCCCAATCGAGTGACTTCATTTCCACTGCAGTGCGGCACTGAGCAGCGATATTGTGTCGCCCTGTCGAACCCCTTTTCCTATGGGAATTGTAAGAGGTCGATGGAAAAGCTGCATTTTCGTAGTGCAGTTCCGATAACAGTCGGACAGAGTCCTTATTTAGGACGACTCCAGTCCTTGGTCGACGAGCGCTGATAGGATTGCATTCGTTTCGACACTGCCAAACGCTTTTTAATAGACAACAAAGGTTAGGAGCAGAGGCAAATGGTATTCCCGGCAAACTTCGTTGACCCTCGACACGATTTGGATGTGGTCCATGCAGCAAAATCCTTTTCGAAATTCTGCTTGCTCAATTGTTTGCTCCTCATCCAATGTCTTTAATATGCGTGAGAGGATAATGTTCGTGAAGGGCTTGTAGAGTTTACTCAACAAGCATATGAGACGACAGTTACGAAGATCCCTTCGGTCTCCTTTTCTGGGCAGGCTGACCGTGCGCGACGTCTTCCACTGGTCTGGGATTTTATCCCTTTGAAGATAGGCTATCATATGATCTGCGAAAAGTAGATGTAAAGGGTGGCTTCCAACTTTAAGGAAGTCGGCGGTAATATTATCGAGTCCTGGAGCTGTACCTCTTTCCATGCTTTGTATCGTAACTCGAACCTCCGAAGGAAGAATTCTAGGTGGTTTTTCTCCAGCGGGGATAGTAGGATCTGAGTCAGGGATTGTGGAACGGAAAAGGTTGGTGTAGAACGTTTCCGCTCTTAATTTCATATCATGGCGGAAAGTTTTGACGATCCCACCTTCGTTCATCAGGGCTAACAGCGGAGCATTATAATCACACAAGCCCCGACGGCATTTTTTCAGACTGCTTCTTTTCTCTGCTGCTTCGAGTATTTTATTCTGCTTGTACCGCTGTAGATCATCCTGCAGAACTCTTCTGCGGCTGGCATTTATTACTAGCCATGTTAAACGCGTTGTAGTAGAACCAAGCTTCAGTTTCCTTCTCTTTTCGAGCAACTCCTTAGTAGTAATGGAGATGCGATCCGATCTTCTTGCTTAAGGAACTGAGGCGAATTCGGCACAGGTTTTCAAACCTTCGACAAGCAGCTCGCAGTCTTCGTTCAGGTCTTCTTTAATCTGCCAGTCACGTTTGGACAAAATTTCGTGCAGAATGTTCTCATCGTATACAGCTAAACCTTTTCCTCGTGGTCGATGAAGAGAGTTCTTTTCCAACTTGCGGTTGAATCGAATCTTCGCGCGAAGAAGGCAGTGATCGGATCCAGTGCAGAATAACGGAACTACCCATCTGTCAAGTAGGCACCATCTTCTAGTTTTCAGAATTTAGTCGATCTCCGCATGAGTCATGTCGTAGGGAGACTCCCATGTCCAGCGGCGGCTTTCTTTCTTCTGGAAAAACGAGTTTCCATGGAAGAGACATGCTGTTGACAGTTCTGCGAGACGGTTCCCACTCTCATTCTCATGACCTCGTATAAGGTCTCGTATAAGCTCATGAATGTAAGAAAGCATTGATTTTTTTTATGTTGAGGTTAGTTGGTAGTTGGTTATCAAGATCTTAGTTCGCTTCTATTTGGTTAATTGATTGTTGAGATGTGCGGATATGCTAGTAAGAGATGGAGTGAGAGGCTCGTTCCCTTCTTCTGCACGGATAAACGCTGCTTTGATAATTGCTTTCGTCGCCTTTCTCTCAGCAGTGTTATTGACCTATAGGTGATATCAACATTCAAACGTCAAAGAGATATATCTGGGAGGCACAAGTCGGCCTCGAGCTAAGCTAGCTTGAAGCAGCAGCTGAAATCACAATGTTTAACCTCTACCTCCTCTCCCTCCTCTAACCTCTAATAACCTCTACTTACAGCCTATTCTTTTTTCATGGCAGGACATTGTCCCCATCACACAGTAATCTGTCATCAAAAAGAATAGGCTGTAAATAGAAAGGTGAATATTGTTGTTTCAACTGCAGCATCAGCCTAATTCGGTTCAAAGACGACTTGTGCTCTTCAGATCATTCCCGTTGACCGATACAGCAAGAACTAGCGGAAAGATATTGAAAGAGATGACCCCAGTGGCGCAGGGGGTAACACGTGGGCCTCCGGAAGGGCTTGTTCTAGGTTCGAGTATGGCCTGGGGTCCACGTTTTGCAAATATCTGGTTTCATTTCACGTCATCCCCTGCCGTGAAAAAACAGCAGACAGCAATTGAACAGTTATATATATATATATATATATATATATCTGATAGAAGCGGTCTTGTATCTCTTACACGAAATCATACGCTTGGCTATAAAAACGATATGGAAAGGTGAGGTTCATTTTTCAAAGTTCGAGGTAGCTTTAAATCGTATGATACGTAAGCAGCTATTGAGCATCTGAAATGCTTCACTAATATCGTAGGACTTCAAAGAACTATATTATGCGATCTTCAGGAAGTTCTGTATATGCGACCAGAATACCAAAAGGGGCAGTGGTAGGGAAACGATGGCGAATAGTCAAGAAGCTCGGTGAAGGTGGATTTGGAGCTGTCTACAAGGTCGAGGATGTAGTGAAAAGGAAATTAGTAAGTTGTGAAACAGTTTTAACTATTCATCGACTAAGGCCAGTTAGTATTTCTTTTACTTTCATTACATGAGGAAGATATTCTACGTGGTAAACGTGCTTGGCGTTCTATACACTGTCTGAGATTTGCTTAATACTGTTGAAGATGCTATTTTTGTCAGCTTATTCTTTTCCTGTCAGCTAAGTGGAATAGAGATAAATGAGATATTATTTCCAGTTTAATGGAGCTGCAATAAAATGTTGTTTCCACTAAATTTTAATGCTAGAAAAAGGGTATGGGAGCTTTAATGTTAATGCCACTGAGAGGCGTCTATCGCCGAAAGTTTTACAGCAAAAATGCAGCACCCACTGATTTTGGTGCACTAGGGTGCTCTCGAGCTTGCAAAAGCCTGCAGTGGAAGGGGGAAAAGTTCTGTAAGGAAAAGTGCTTTAAGAGTGACTAAAAATTTAAAGGACAAAAAGACCACCAGACTTCACCAAACACTATCTCCTGAAAAATTCTGGTCGTTTAGTCATTATCGCAAGTCTAAAGAGGAATTTAAGAATAAAGATATCAGACCACTCGGAAGTTTATTCATTAGTTATCTCTATGATGATCGTTTTTAGGCTGCTCTAAAGGCTGAAGCTAACAACAAGCGTGGTGGTGTTTTACGCTTAGAGGCGAAGGTTCCTTTCATCGTTTTCACTTTAGTTCTACTCAGTTGCAAATTGAGAAACATTTGTTCCAGGTATTGCATCGACTCGAAGGAAAGCCTCATGTAGTTCAACTTATTCAAACAGGTAAAAAGGACTCATATTCCTATATAGTAATGACATTACTTGGCGAAAGTTTGGATAAAGTTATAAGGTAAATAGTTGTCGTTTTGGAAAAACAAAGTCTGCAAAACACTTATAATTGGGAATATTACAGCAGGATCGGAAAAATTTGCTCCATATCAACGCAAGTACGGATTGGAATACAAGTTTTATTTGCAATAAAGCAGATCCATGATGTATGTGCATTTGACTGGTAAAAAAGGCGTTACATAAAGTGTAAAAGAGTCTATAAAGAAACGTCGTGGTTTTCTTTTTTGCTTTAGACAGGATTTATACACCGAGATGTGAAGCCAGGAAACATGGCACTCGGAATGAGATCCACAGAAGAGTCTCGCTTAATTCACATCTTGGATTTTGGATTGGCCAGAGAGTACGTTGTTGTGGATAAAGACGGAGCCACGAAAATGCGTCGTCCAAGACCAAAAGTACATTTCAGGTAAACTACTGTATTGAATAAACAAATAGCTGATAATGGTCTGTGTGGTGCAAATTGAGGAAGATATGATAGTACTAAAGTTTAGCTATGAATCAAGAGCGATTGTAACATTTGGGGACTGCGTTTATTTTTACATGATATTGCTTAAAAGTGGTCGAATGCAGAGGCACTCTACGGTACTGCTCGGCAAACGTCCAACTGCGATGCGAGCAAGGTCGAGTGGACGACCTCTGGTGTCTACTCTACATTATGGTTGAGCTCAGAGGTCGCTTACCCTGGGCGAATGCACAGTAATTTACTTAACGCACTATATTTAAATAACTCATAAATTAATTATAACGTTGCTGAAATATTTGCAAAGCTCTGGACCACTGGTGTTTGCGGTGGGAACCGAACCCGCTATTACCCTTTCTGTGGGTGTCGCGTTCACCACACCATGCGAGTTCTTCGTTTGCCCTGTCTCTCATCCATGTTACTGACCTGAAAGAATAATATTCTAAATACGCAACGAAATGTTAGACACGTACTCTTTTTGCACACCGAGCAGCCCCAATTGCCCCCGCCTGTAGACTTAACACGAGGCGAATACGCTAAGGAAATCAGCACAGAATGGCACGCAGAGCAGAGATAATTTCTAAACGGTCATCAGATATTCTAGTTATATTATTCTATATATTCTATTCCAGATATTCTGACAGATAACCGATCATCTTCTCAGAGACAAGGATCGAATACTAAAAGTGAAGGTGGACACAGAGTTGGAAGAACTGCTTAAGAACTGTCCAAAGGAACTCATTATATTTGCGAATCATTTAAGGTAGAGATCTTCACTTAACATTTATCATTATAGGCATGGAATCGCTTTTTCGCCAAAAAATATTTGCGACCCAGGAGAACAAATAAAATTTGTGTGTAGATTCCGTCAAACGATCGGAAAACGAAAATGGCAGTAGGATATACCAAATAGTGGAAGTAGGACGACAACAATAACCTAAACAAAAGAAATCCACAAAGTATTTTATGTAATTGGTCTTCTTTGCAACATAGCTTATAATACCATACGGCACATCATCACAGAACATGGTGGCAACATCACCCAGTGTGTCGTGTCAACTCGAAGTGATAGGTCGACTACTAATATTGGTTCACATGGAATCAACTTCACCACTGGGTTACTAGCAATTGTGTGAATTGTGCGACAACAATGGAGCTAATCCTCATAGTTTGCTTGCTGACCACATGAACGTGATATCTCTAAGAATTCAATACATTGGAAAATTTTAATATAACTTGATTCGTCATTAAGTTTAATATGAAGATCCCAGCACCTTTTGCTTTTGATTCGTTTTCTTAGATCGGACATGCTTGCAAGTCTTCGAACTTTTTGCTTGTGGGTTCGGCTGTTGCTTGAGAATTTTTCTTTCCGTCATGAAAGTCGTTGAATGGTGGTGTGGATACTTCCCCAGTTACAGCTGTCTTCGAGCGTGCAAACATTGGTTAGAGCAAGTGAACTTGTCTCAGACAAGAATAGCATAAATTTGCCAACCAGGAGGGAGCAGAGGATTGGTATTTCTGAGCGAATCGAACCACCACCACGCCTCTCATGAAAAGCTTTCTAGAACTACGCTATCAACCACAATAATGTGATCATTAAGTATGTATTTTACCAACAACCCAAAATGTCTCTCATTGCCCTGGAACACCTAGAAATCAGCATTTTCATAGGTGTTTGAGGCTGCAACAAGGAGAATAAACTGAAGCTTTAACTAGGCTTTCTCGTAACTCTAACATAAGGCTACTCTTTGAAACTGGACTTGGCGGATTTAGAACCATTCCAAGGGGATTTTGTGGATTTAGAACCATTTTAACGTCGTTGCCAGTGCAATATAGCAAAAAAAAATGACGGCGACAAAGTATACATTCTCACAAAGGATTTTTTTAATCGTAGTGTCACACTACGAACTAGCAGAATGTTTCTCCGTCTGAACACCCCACTGTTAAAAAAAGGGCAGCTGTTCATCAACACTGATATTTCTTCATATTTCTGAAGTCTGGGCTGTAACCCGGTGCAAACTTCAATAAAGATTAGTCGATTTCCTCCATGGAGTGCTGCTTTACACAGTCAAAACAGTTTACTAAAGCTAAGTTTACCTCAGTGAGTATTTTAGATACGCTCACTGCTGCTTTCACAGTTTGCAATTCTTATCCTACCCTCAGCACGAAACGGACGTTGAACGTCGCCTTGATATGAAACATAAACACTGTTTCAGTGGGCTAAACTACTATCTACGTCCTGACTATTTGCTTCTTTATCGCCTACTTAAAGATGTGATGGATGACGGTGGAATGAAGTAAGTTGTCTTCAGTGAGGAAACGTCTTTTCGTTATCATCTTTCCTTTAATATCTCCATTACTGTTCCAAAAGTTTACGTAATTGCCTCTTTGGCGGGTTTGAATCCTATATTTTAACAAATGTTCAAATTTGCTTTCATTTTGCGAAGATCGTGCAAATGATGACTCAACTCCAATGTGAGTTGCCACTGAGGAGAAATGGCTTTCATGTCGATAATAGATACATAATAACAATGTTAATATAGATAGTAGATAAGGTACATAAAGGTCCAAAAAGCAACGGATTATCTGTTGAGTAGATGTTAAAACAGAAGGACTAACAATTGCTGTCTGTAGAGAGATGACAACTATTGAGAAATGTAACTCGTGTATAATGCTGAGACATTTGCTAAACTCCGAACCGCATACACCTGCGGTCCGGAGTTTTGCAAATATCTCAGCATGATACACGAGTTATATTTCGCAACATACCCTGTCATTAAAAAGGAAAAAAAGGCAGTAAATAAAAGGGTTAGGTTTGTGACTATAACTAAGCCTCAGCTTAACTGGGTTCAATGCCAATTTGGGCTCACCAGATCAATTCCGTTGACAGGTGATTGCTGATGGCAAATGATCAATAGAACTAGCTGAGAGACAGGCAAAACGAAGGATCCGGATGGTGTGGTGGTGACGTGCGCTACTCCCCGGAAAGGACAACAGAGCGCGTTCGTTCCCCATCGCATGCACCTGCGGTCCGGAGTTTTGCAAATATCTCATCATTATACACGAGAACGATTTCCTTCTTTCCTCTTTTCTGTGCACACATTTTTAGCCTTTCTGTACATGTTTCTGATGAGTGTTCTCATAATGCGTAAAAGATGAGGGGTTCTGTAGTGCACATCTTTACTTGGTTTTCGATATCATTTTATTATATAACGACTTTCTGAAGGCTTTATTTCGATGTTTAAGGATGGAAGCCAGTTCTCAGTTGGCTTTCCCGTGTGGATTCTACATACTCCAATAGTCTATTTAACAATTTAAAGCATTTGTTAATCTATTTTTGTGTGGAACCGAAGATGAAGGACTCGTCAATGTATCGACAATAGAGTAAGGGTCAGCGATAGAGAACTTCAGCGACCTAAAGCCGATAGCAAGGCTTGGTGATAATTGTTGTCCCTTTACCAACCAATCCTCTAATTTGTATAAAATATCTTCTCGACCACCAAAACGGGAACGTTGCGTAGGACGCATTAAGGATCATAAACATTGCATAGTATATCACACGAAGTGTTACACATAAAACACCCACACATTCATATTTGTCATGTTTGGTATAGGTTTTCCGATCCATTTGACTGGGAGGAAGCTGGCCCACAGTCGAAAACCTCAAAAGCATCCATTTCCACCGGGTAAGACATTTTTTCAACGCTATTATATAAAGGTTAAAAAATGTGGTAAGAAATAAAGAATAAAAGAATAAAGATTTCGGCGTTCATCAATCCTTGAGAGATACGTCCTGTATTCGACTTCACCATGCATCATTGGAGATGACTTAATGCATATCTGGCCTTTACAATGACTAGCGATGGCCTACCGATGTATAGAGCGAGTGCTGCTATCCTACCAGACAAGTCTGGTACCTATTTGCCTACTCCGGCGGATGGAAGGCTCGATGGAGCCTGCGGCACGTGGTGGACATCGTGTGTGTTGCAGGTGCCTCTAACCACTGAGCTACACGCTTGCAAAGAAAAGGCTGCTTTTTTCCTTTCTTTGGCGGAAAGGGCGCGTGTGGCGCAGTGGTTGGAGGCGCCACTGCGACACATATACGGAATCGATCCCCGCGCCCGTGGCCCACCAAGCCTTCCATCCCTCCGGGGTCGGCAAACTGGTACCAAACTTGTCTGGGTGGGCAGCAGCACTGGCTCGACACATCGATATGCCACTGCGAGTCATTGTAAAGGCCAGATATGCATTCAATCACCCCCAACAATACTTGATGAAGTCGAATATATGGCGCATCCCACAGGGATTGATCAATGCCGAGAGCTTTATTTCTTTTTAGCTTTTTCTATGAAGGAAAAATTGCAATACTTAAACATTTTTTTCTTGATACACTTTGATTATTCCTAGTTACTATAGGATTATGAAAAAACCTTGAATGCTCAAGAAACCAAAAGAGCTATTTAGACAAAGCGAACAAAGAAGTGGGTCTTCGTGGTCTGTATCGCCACTACTAACAGACTATTCATTGGTAATTTGTTTGTTATCTTTCTATACAGATTATCCATCTGCAAGTATGGCGCGGATCCCTGTGGATCTTTCCTTCAGCTAATTACCCATTGCCAGTTACCCACGATGGTCTTTGGATTTTAAGCTTTTATTTAAAGTGTGATCACCCGCCACTCGGCTTTTCTTCCTCAGGGATTTTGTTGGATAATGCCTTGACTGCAAATCTTAGATTAGTACTAAGCCTTCCTAGGTTTTTAACGCAATGACCCGATTGGACTGATATGTCGGAGAGCGCCCTTTCCAGAAAAATCTAGTTATATCAATTAGTCTACGCTGCATGCACGGGTGATTTGGTTGGTCTGGGAGCGGATTAGAACTATGGAGCAAGTGTGTATTATTGCGCAACATTCCTAACCAATTCTCCGGCCTCTAATTCATAAATCACTGCAGAATTTTCTATAACTTGACCTATATGCTCTACTGTTTCCTAGTATCGTACTGTTCATAATAAACCAGTGCTATTTAATGAGCCCGATATTTTGTCACACAAAAATCGAAGCAATCCTGTTCCACTCATTTGTCTCAAACGTTTTTCAGGACACCATCGAATATCTTTTTCCTACGGAAGTCTTTGCGCTAAACCAGTACGGATTTTGAAGACTTTCAGATGAAGTTCCACTTTTGAACATTATTAATTATCATCGAACTTAATCTGGATTTCTTAACAATATGAT